GGTTGGACTTTAGGGAAATTAAAGCTATCAGGATTTGCAAAGTATAATGCCAGGATAAAAAGGAAAGCATGCAAAGACAGAACTTCAGAAATTTGCTTAGAGTTCTCCTCCCCTCCAATCTTTAATTTGAGTAGCAATCGGCATACATAGAGAATGAAACTCTACAAGACCAAAGGAAAAACATTTGCTGGGGGTGCGTAAGCCTTCGAATTCCCTACGTTCGTAGAAGGCCATCATTCATTCACGTTTCCTCCCACCATATGGAGGAGTTTTTGTTGAATAGGTAAAACATTCATGAAACACTCCATGAATGTCACTTTTTAGTAGTAAAGTAAACTAGTCCCAGGCAAAGGTGACTCTAGAGTTGCTTCAGGAACACTATTTATTCTTGAAAATAGTTGATCTACAATATTATGTTAGTCCCAAGTGTATTACATCATGATTTGACATTTGTATACATTATGAAATAATCACCACAATAAGTCTAGTAACCATCTGTCCCCATACAGTTACTACAATATTATTGACCATATTTCTTGTGCTGTATATTACATTCTCGTGGCTTATTTATTATGTAACTGGGGGATTGTATGTCAAATTCTCTTCACCTATTTTTCCCACCCCACCCCAAGCAATAATCTGTTTGTTCCCTGCATCATTGTTGTTGTTGTTTAGTCACTAAGTCCTGATGGACTCTTTCTGACTCCGTGGACTGTAGCCTGCCAGGATCCTCTGTCCATGGGATTTCCCAAGTAAGAGTACAATATCTATGAGTATGTGGAAAATAGTATAGAGGCTTCTCAAAAAATTAAAAGTAAAACAGCCATGCGATTCAGCAGTTTCACTTCTGGATATTTACCCAAAGAAAAAAACAATTCATAAGGATGTTTTCATTTTAGAGTTTATTTTGGCATTATTTACAGTAGCCAAAGTAAGAAAGCAAATTTATTGTCCATTGACAGATGAATAGACAAAAATCACACACAACTCGTTGGAAAAGACCCTGATGATGAGAAAGATTGAAGGCAAAAGAAGAAGAGGGCAGGAGAGTGTGAGATGGTTGGATAGCATCACCAATTTGTGCATGCTAAGTCACTTCAGTCTTGTTTGACTCTTTGCCACCTTATGGACTGTAGCTCACCAGGCTTCTCTGTTTATGGGATTCTCCAGGCAAGAATACTGGAGTGGGTTCACATCCCTCCTCCAAGGGATCTTCCGACCCTGGGATCGAACCCAACTCACCAACTCAGTGGACATGAATTTGAGCAAACTCTGAAAGAGTGAAGGACAAGGAAGCCTGGAATTCTGCAGTCTGTGGATATGCCAAGAGTCAGAGATGACTCAGTGACTGTAAAACAATAACCTGGCCCAATGTGACAAGAAATATTGGCAACAACTCCTTGAAGCTGTGTGGTCCAATAGTGCTGGAGCTGAGAGAAGGGCGGACAGAGTTGATAGTTTGCAGAGCAAAGCCAGTGGCCTTATTCATCAGGAAAGTTGGAGTGCAGTACCACTTGAACAGAGAACAGCCCACGGCTTCCCCCAGCTGCAGAGCAAAGCTGTGTGGCCTCAGCAGAGAATTCAGTGCACACTCAGCCTGAATCTGGACCAGAAAACAATGAGCTATACAATCCCTGTGTCCTGGTCTGCTGCCCTGCCAGAGTAGGGAAGCTAATTCATAGTGCCACCTACTACAGAATATAGTACCCAGTCCTGACAGAGAACTCAGGCAGTCATAGATTCCATTCTGCAACCTCATTTGGGTAGGAAACCAAGCCAGAAGTCCTAGCCAACTGTCCTTAGGCAGTGGTGCACCCCATCCCATCTCCATCCTCAAAGGTGGAATATGTGTCTTGCCCCAGAATAGACCATAATAGCAGGATCCTCCTGCCTGAAAACATTACCAGCAGACATGCCCAGAAAACCGAACTGAGCTGAATGGTAAAGAACAATCTCTGCGAGGACAAATTTATAAGGTCTGGAAAAGACATCTCACTACTCAAATACACAGATAAAATAATCAGATAAATATGACAAGACCAGAGGAAACTAATAAAGATCTCACAAACGACCCCAAATAAATGGGGAACCATAAACTCTCAGACACAAAACTCAGACTAATTCTCTAAAAGAAGGTTTACTGAACTACAAGTAAACACAGAAAGAGAACTAAATAAAATTAGGAAACCAATGCATGAGCAACAAAATGAGATGTTTGAGAAAAAACAATAAGAGCAACCATTGAAAAATGAAACAGAAATCCTAGATAAAAAGAATACAATAACTGAACTGAAACATTTAATTGAGTAACAAAGCAGACTGTCTATGCAGAGAAATAGTTCATGAACTAGAGTGGTAGGATATTGGAAATTACTGAGACAGAAGAGAAAAAGAAAAATAATATAAAAGATTGAAGACAGCTATAGGAATTATGGGGCACAATGAAACAAAACAATGTTTGCAATATGAGAACTGCAAAAAGAGAAGAAAAGAAGAAAGGGAGAGAATATATATTTAAAACAAAAATGACTAAAAACTTCTCCAATCTGGAGAGAGAAATAAACATCCAGATTCATGCGGCTAATAGAATCTCCTAATAGGTTGAAATAGAGTAGAGCTACACTGAAACACTCTTAGGTTCAAAAACAAACAAACCAAAAAACCCTGTTAGATCTATACTCTGAATTCAGTACAGTTGGAAAATTAACAAAATTAGCATACACAAATCAGTAGAAACTCTGTTCACTAACAAAAATTTAAACAAAATGGAGATTCAATTCCTTTTATAACAATATAAATAAAACAAAATACAGAGAAGTAAATTTAGCTAAGGTGCTGAAAGATCTCTACTCTGAAAATCATAAGACATGGATAAAAGAAATCAAAGAAGACATAAATCAATGGAAAGATACATTATGCTCATGGATTGGAAAAAAATGATGCTGTCAAAAAGTTGATACTACCAAAAACCACCTTTCAGTTCAAACTAATTTCTATCAAGATTTCAATGGCATTTAAAGAGAAGTAGGAAAATGCCGGGAACCAGCACATGAGATCCCACCCATGACAAGGTCGTGAGGAGAAGACCTAAGAAGCAAGGCAGATCAGGACTTCAGGGATTTTGAAAAGCTGCCCCGGCGCTCACCTTAAAGATGATCTCTGTCTTTCTGATGCTTGCTATATTAGACTAAATCCCCAATTTCTGTGATACAGGCAGAAGGCCTTCCCCGATCTCTCTCCAAACAGAATCAACTTAGAACTTTAATTAATATGTCCCCCGGACGGCAGTATCCTATAAGATTATCCAGGATGAAAGGAGTGTTTCAATTTAGACCCCTTTGCTGGCATTCTAGCCTGCTTGCCAAATGCCTACTAATGCACATGACTGCTCACAACACCTTAATCATAAACAGCATAAAGAACCTGATCACACAAAAGGCCCTAATAGACACAGAGCCCTTCGGGGGGGGGTGAGGAAGCCCTATTAGAGAACATAAAAATTTATTCTAAACGTGGTTAGATTTAAAGATTAAGAAAAATAAGAGTTTAGAATTGTTCATTTTAACCAGGAATGCTAAACAGGGGCTGCCTCACTGGAGCTGCAGAGTCTTTGTGTGGTAAACCTTTGAGATAAATTTAACTGATAGCTTCTGCAAAAGGACTGACCTTTGTGTTCATTAAAGAATATATTACGGAAAACAGCTTTGCATTCACCTAGGTCATAAAATGTCAATAGGCCCCAAGGCCAGAAGATAATGTATAAGACTCTCACAAAGAAGTTGCAGAAAACAACCTGGTTTTGTGAAGAATAAGCTGATGTAATATTAAACTATGTTCCACTTAAAAATATACTAACTTAGAATATAAAAGCCACGGTAAAAAATAAAGATTTGCCAGACTCGGCTGCCCATCCCCAGTCTGGTCACTCTCTCTCTCTCTCTCTCTCTCTCTTTGTCTCTCTCTCTCTCTCTCTCTCTCTCTCTCTCTCTCTCTCTCTCTCTCGCAGACTTGGCCCCATCAAGGCTGGTCTCACGTGTCTTCTCTCTCCAACACCGTTCATCCTGAGTATACCCCCTGGATCCTGCCGAGGCTGAACCCCGGCAGGAAAAGGCACTTTTGAAAATTATATGGAACCACAAAAAAGAAAGAGTGGCCCAAAAAAATGTCCTGAGAAGAAGCAACAAGGCATTACCATATGACCCAGCAATTGTGCTTCTGGAATTATGAAAGTGTTAGAGTATGAAAGAGTTATGTCTGGCACTTTGAGACCCCATGGACTATAGCCTGCCAGGCTCCTCTGTCCTTGGGATTTCTCAGGCAAGAATACTGCAGGGGGTTGCTATTTCTTTCTCCAAGGGACCTTCGCAACTCAGATCAAACCCAGGTCACCTGCCTTGGAAGTCAGATTCTTTACCACTGAGCAACCAGGGAAGCCTAACACTGTTGTATTGTATATTAAAAAGTTGTGAGGAGAGTAAAACCTGAGTCCTCATCACAAGAAGAAAGTGTTTTTCCCTATTTTTTCTTTCTTTTCATTATATTTAGATGAGAGGATGGATATTAGCTGAAACTTTTGTGATAACCATTTTACAAAATATGTAAAGCAACCTTTCATACTATATGCCTTAAACTTAGGCAATGACATATGTTAACTATTTCATAATAAAATGGGAAAAATATGAAAGTATTTCTTTGGGTTAAATTTAATAGGTTGTTTTAGAAAAGCTGACAGTGATTATGTACTTTAAACTATAGGAAATGGTGACTATTTCCAATAAATGATCTGTGCAAATTATTTATTTGAACCATTTTATAATAGCCTTTAACAATTTTAATTGCTAAATCTGCATTGGCAGATGATCATTTATTTGCTCATCAATTCAGGTGCTTGTTGGGCAGTTTATTTGTCATTTTCTAACTGGCCAGAAGACTACCTCCCTTCTCATATATAACTTGCTTTTGTTTGAGACTTACACTTAAGTACAACAGGCAATGAGAAGATGTGGTCTTCTTTGGCGATCCCTACCTTTCTCTTCCTGAGTTTCTTTTCTGTGGGATTGGCCCCAGATCCAGGCTCAACCACCAATGCAAATGACAACTATCTCCCTTTTTGGGACCAGATTAATAGAGACAGCAGAATTCCCAGTGCAGAATAACAAGATAATCATTGATCCCTGGAAATATATGGATTGACTAAGAATAATGAGATCCTTAAAACAGAATCAGACAAATATTTTGCTTCATTTGGAACAAACAATACAGAGAATGTACATTGGGTAGTAACTCTAATATATGGAGAGCTACTTAAAACAGGTGTGTACATTTTAATTAATAGCAAGAAAGATGTTTTTCTCTTTCTTTGTTACTGAAAGTCATAGTATCTATCTGTTTTACTGTCTGAATGCTGATGGAGTATGTAGTCAATATAACCGTTCATCTTCCAGTATTCAGGTTCTCTTCAGTTCAGTTCAGTTTAGTTGCCCAGTCGTGTCCAACTCTTTGCAACCCCAGGAACTGCAGCACGCCAGGCCTCCGTGTCCATCACTAACTCCCAGAGTTTACTCAAACTCATGCCCATCGAGTTGGTGATGCCATCCAGCCATCTCATCCTCTTTTGTCCGCTTCTCCTCCCGTCCCCAATCCCTCCCAGGATCAGGGTCTTTTCCTGTGAGTCAGGCTCTCTTAGGACCTATTAAACACTTCTTTTGATTAGTAAAAGAATATGGTATGCCTTTTCTTTACATTTTATAGACTTTCTGGTTTAAAGATGCAGTTTTTAATAATATAAATTCCTGTACACTGAAAAAGCTTACTGTTTGGAAAACAAATGTTTTTGTTATTTTTGTCTGCTTAGAAGTCTCAGCAAATTCTTGACTGCTGAGACTACTGAGAGGCTGGGCTTCCCATCTGGCTCAGTGGTAAAGAATCTGCTTGCCATGGCATGGCATGCCAGAGACCCAGTTTCCATCCCTGGATCAGTAAGACCCCCTTGGCAAGGAAATGGCAACTCACTTCAGTATTCTTCCCTGGAATATCCCATGCACAGGGGAGCTTGGCCGGCTACAGTCATGGGTTCCCACACAGTTGGACAGGACTTGGCCACCGAGTAGACACAGCTTCTTAGGGCAAGGTGGTACCAAAATATCTCTGCTGCATGAGGTGAGATTATTATAGGAAATATGATAAAGTTTCTTTCAGCTGTGAAACCCGGGGTGAGGTTTCACACAAACTAAGGGAAGGAACCTACTTTCCCTTGAAAGCCTGAGTTTTGACTCATAAATATTAGTAGAAAGAGTAAATAAGATATGGCCCTCACTGCACAGTCGCTCTCCTGATAGTTGTTAAGTTCAGGCAGAAAAAAGGGCTGAAAACAGGGACGGACTGGTCCAGAATGCGGCACTCTCTTCCTGCACTTAAACAAGTAGGATGGGGAAATGGAGTCACGTGTGATGCTCGGAACTCTGTGATTCTAGAAACTACTCTCTTTTCTGCCTAAGTTGGGGTGAATTTCTCCGTCTGTATTTTGCTCTCACTACTTCTCCAATCAATTATCTTATTACTGAGATTCTGGAACTGAATCAGCTTCCTATTCTCATGAAATTCCTTTTTAAATTATCTTCTTTGGATGTGACTAGATGGAATCCAGAATGAAACAAGGACTAGAATAAGGTGACTTTATATAGGAAAAAAAATTAGGCACATTTGAGTTATTGCAATGAAGTCTTGATTGATTAAGGAAGAAAGAAGCACCCAAAGAGACTGCCTTGTGAAACATTCTGCAGGTCCAGCTTAGTCAAGGAGTTGGTAAAGTATAAAGAAAATAATAAAGAAAAATAGAAACCCAGAAAAATGCAAGAAAAGGTCTGTACAGGCTGGAATTTCTGAGAAGCTTTGAGCTCTTAAAGTGAATGAAATGCTATTCATATGAATGGACCATATCATTAGCCGGCATAACCCTCTTCTTACTCTTTGGAGGGGGGCATATGAGTCTTTTCCTCTCTAATGACTTTCTATTCAAGGTTCAACTCTTTCCACCTATGCTGTTTACTCTGTAGATAGATTTTCTGAACCTCCCAATAGTTCATGGTGTGCTTATGAGCCTGGAATCTCCAGCTCCATATTTATCAACAACGGCTGGAGAGGTATGTATTTTCATCATGTTTCTTTATTGATCTGTTGTTGTGGGGCTTGCTCACTCTGCTTTTCTATAGGGTAAGCTAAGTTGGGTTAAATCTTGATATTTACTCTGTAAATATATACCATTTTCTGTGCAGTTCCCTGGGGTGGGGGCTAGTCAATTTAAAACAACAAATATGAATGGTAACTCTTTCTATCACTATGTCTCTATTATGATCTACAGCACATCATTCATTTTAGATTGATACTGGAGAAGAAAATGATCCGTACATGTACCTAGGTTTTCAAACTTTCTGTTGCTTATTTCACCTATGCCCAGTCCCTTCTCCAACTAGTTACTCTTTATTTCTCATTACATCCTAGCCTCACTCTAGCCTTTTAGAGAGAGTTTAATTCAACCCTTACCGTGATCTTAAAATTAATATCCTCATAACACAGATGATCAAACAGAGTTGGGAGAGGTTGAATAATTCCCTTTTTATTACAAAATTCATTGTAAAGTGTCAATATTTATCTACCTTGAAAATTCATTTTCCCAATCACTGTTCTAGTTTGTCTCCCTAAACCTCTAATATGCAAAAACACCAAAAACTTGGTCATAATTGTTTATTTTCAATTGCAAGACTTATTTTAGGCCCTAAAGGTGAATTTCACTATAGGTACAAGGTATATGCTTCTTCCTAATGTTTTACTGAGAAATATAACTTCACTAGTTACAGATTTTTGAAAAAGTGGGTCTTATAAGTGTACATTTCAAAATAAAGATTGTACGGGGTAATTAGCAAAATTCTTCTGTCCTAGTATAGACAGTCCAAGGTAAAGTATGTATTTATTGACAATCATACACTCAAATTTAAAAATTAAGGTTAAGACTAGCCATAAGTGGAATGAGTTCAACTAGTGCACCAAGTTTCAAATAGTAAGAAAATGATTTGTCATCAAAATACTTGAAAATATTCCCTGAAATATCTATCAATTGTGTCTTCTCCCTCACATTTTGTATCACTAGTACCTTGGTTTCTTTTTGAAAGCTAGGTTAACAGTCAGAATAGTCCTCTGAATGTCAAGCACGATTGTGGGGGGATTTGTTTCATTAACAGAAGGTGTAGATTCGTGCCTATGATGGAAGCCAAGCTGAGGAATATGCCTGGGAATAACCCTGTTCTGGGAGCTGTCAGCATTCTAGTGGACAAGATGAACCCAGGCATCAGAAGTAGAGAAATAGTCCTAAAACAGAATATTCTAGAGTGAGGACTTGGTTGAAATGAGTTAGGGTCAAGAAACAGAAGAAAGATTGTTGTTGCTTAGTCCCTAAGTCATACCCAACTCTTTTTGTGACCCCCTAAACTGTCGTTCACCAGGTTCCTCTGTCCATGGCATTTCCTAGGCAAGAATACTGGAATGAGTTGCCATTTCCTTCTCCAGGGTCTCTTTCCAACCCAGGGATAGAACTTAAATCTCCTGCAAGGGCAGACGGATTCTTTACCACTGAGCCACCAGAAAAGCCCAGAAGAAAAATACCAAATTAAAACCGAGACAATGTATTCAAGGTTGTGTGGAAAGAGAATTGGCTGGGCTTCAGAACCATCCCTAAGATAGCTGAGAGGATAGAACAAGATGGTTAAACCAAAGTCTCTTCCACAATTTAGGCAAAGAATCTCCACATGTGACATGTATATGTATATTTAGCAGCATCTACATGTATACCTGGGCTTCCAGTGGCTCAGATAGTAAAGAATCTGCCCACAATGTGGAAGATCAGAGTTCAATACCTGCATCAGGAAGATCCTCTTGAGAAGGAAATGGAAATGTACTTCGGTATTCTTGCCTGGAGAATTCCACAGACAGAGAAGCCTCGCAAGCTGCGTTTCATGGGGTTGCAAAGAGTTGAACATGACTGAGTGTCTAACATACACACACACGCACACACACTCATATATATATATACCCAGGGCCTCCCTGGTGGTAAAGAATCCACCTGCCTAATCAGGAGACTTGGATTCAATCCTTGTGTCTGGAAGATCCCCTGGAAAGGAAATTGTAACCCACCCCCGTATCCTTGCCTGGGAAATCCCATGGACAGTGGAGCCTTGTAGGTTACAGTCCATGGTGTTGCAAAGAGTTGGACAAGACTCAGTGACTAAAGAGCTACCACATATATACCCAAACTGAAGGGAGTATTTTCCTGAGTCAAGTCTTATTCTTTACTTCCTAGGTGAGGGATAAATAAATATAGGACCGTTAGTCATTTGGTTAACTCCTACTTTGTATAGACAGTTAAAGGCTCCAGATATCTCCATCCTATTTTTCTACAGGCATTAACTACTATGTGATTGTTATGTATTTCCTTGCTGCAATTGAATCTGAGTTTTGGGGGAATTTGCCATATGAGGTAGGACTACTATCTCGAAAGGAGTACAGATCTAATTTCTGTTATTCAGTTGAAGAATGCCATGCATCCTATCCACAAGTTATGGATGTAGCCAACCAGTTTTATAAGGTAAAAGAATGCAATGATATTTTTATGAATAGAATGAATGAAAACATTGAAGATCTTCTCTTGGGACTTATGATTTAAAAATAGACTAAATTTCACATTAATATGCATGTGAAATTTTAAGTGTAAAGTTTTGTCCCTACCCCTTTATACTGTTCCTATTAGTCTGAAATATTCCTAAATAGTTAATAGGAAATTGGTATAATTGTATTTATAAAAAAGTGTTTTAAGGATGCTAATGTAATAATTACCAAATTACATCTGTGTCTGCAAATAAATTAGTATGCATCCATCTGTAAAACAAATAAGTTAAGCTAAATAACATCTCTAAGTGTTAAAATTTATTTTGAAAATAAATTTCATTGGTAAACAGTCAGCTAAATGAGTATACTACAGTATTCTTTTTCAGGAATTCATGACACTGGTAATTAAATATATT